AGGTCAGTTATGGATATGAAACATAGAAGAGTGACGGTAGAACAAGACCAAGTGGTCCATCGAGTTTGACCTTTACGATTTTTCTTGGGGGATTTTTGTAACACTTGTCTCTAAGTGTAGATCGGTTTGTCCCAAACATGAATTAATTATTGGTATTTATATAGCGCCAAGACTTCGTAGGCAGCGCTTTTCATAGTCGCACATTCACACTAGAGCTTACAATCTAAGGTCCCTATCTCACATGTATAAAAGGCTAAGGAGCGCTACTACCTTTTGGGGGTGCAGGCTACTTTATTGGAGTATGCTATATATAAAGAAAACCAGAGTGACTCACAGTTAGGAAGGCGGCAGAAGTGTCCGAAGATCCCCTGTGGAGGGGCGTCTGCCGTCCTAGATCCAGGTCCTTGGAGTGGAGCAGAGTGCAAGGGATGGTGGGCTACAGGTCCAGAGCCCAAGTCTGGTGTTCAACAGGCACACGTACTCGGCTGGCCAGGCCGAGACGCTGCGGTTGGAGGATGTAAAAAAGCCGCAATCGGCTCAGGCATACTAATACCCGTGTGTCCCCACTGTATGTCAGGATGGTGTGCCGGGGGTGATCAAAGTGGTAAATGCGCGGGGCTGATGAGACCTGTAGTAGAAGTGAGGGGTCTCAAAGAATAGGCGGCTACGCATTTCGAGGTATAACCTCTTTCTCAAGCCTCAGTATAACATACATACACGGCCATTTTATACAGGAGCCAGTTAACTTTCCAGCATGTCTTTGGAGTTTGGGAGGAAACCGAAGTACCCGGAGGAAACTCACCCAAGCACAGGGAGAACATGCAAACTCCTTGCAGCATGTTTATACTCACTTAGGACCCAAATATACTGCGGCGTTTTAAACACATGTCTAAATTCCCTATAATAAAAATAGTTTCTGTTCCAATCTCAGCGTATTGACATACAACATGTCCATTTGTTCTGCATTCTAGCACATTGGGAGGCCCATAGACGTCAATGGCAATGCATCAGAATGCATATTACATGTATGTTGATGCTTTGGCAACAGGTATTAACAAGCCTTGGTCAATGGTCCTTAACTCTATCCATTCCAAATTCTAAAATTAAAACACATTGGAAATGTGTCAGCATGTGTCAATAACGCATGCCGATGCACAAAGGAAACACACATTTACACATGAGCCAAGACACACCTCTGCACACATGCATAGATGTAAATAAGCCCTCATTGTTGACTCTCTCATTACCTCTACTGGAAGTCTGTTCCTACTTTTTTAGTAAAATAATACTTTCTGAGGTTGGTTTTGAACGTTCCTCTGGCTAGTGTGAGGTCATGTTCTTATGTTCTTAATTTTAGATAGCCCCCTCTGTGATAGCAATAAAGTTAAGTGGAAAAAAAATGAATGTTTCCCCCCAAAAAGTTTTAAAGTTACACATAAAAAAGAATTTAAAAAAAAATATTTTTTTAAAAAAAGTCCCCACCCCTACATACACGCATGTAAACATGGGTCATGTGCGCATACCTGCGAAAACGACTTGCGTCCATTACGCCGCACATGTTACATATCGCCGTGAACATCACAGTGAGAGCAATTATTTCAGGGCCATCAATCACTGATAACACTAAACTGATGAGCTGCAAAAGCTTTTAAAACGTCGCCTATGGCCAATTTTGGTTATGCTAGTTTTTTGCGGGTGCGCGCAATTTTTAAGCTTGACATGTTTGATGTCCATTTATCTGACGTGACCCCATCTATTATATTTTACCAAAAAGTTGGGGTAATCATAAATGTTTTATAACATAATGTAAAAAAAACTTTTTTTTTTTCAAAATTTTCTGTAATTTTTCCTGAATATAGTAAAAAATAACCCCCCCCAGTGGTGATTAAATACCACCAAAAGAAAGCTCTATCTGTCCCCAAAAAATGGTATAAAACTAATTTCAGTACAGCGCTGCATGACGGAATAAATGTCAGTCAAAGTACCGCAGCGCTGAATACTGAAAAATGGCCTGGCCAGGAAGGGGGTACAAACACCTGGTCAGCAAGTAGTTAATAGCACCCTAAACACGACCGGTAAAACGTGCAATTTTTTCCCCATGTGTGGATGTGCATCAAACCCATGGGGGGAAAAACGCAGCCCGCTCGCAGCTGAAATTACTACAATGGCTGCCCTCCTGAGCCTTATTTGAACCTAGTTTAAATGTAGGAAATGGAATTTACCTGGCTGCCATGCTGACCTATCAGTCTAAATACTACCCTGACCTGAAAAAGTAAGCAGATACCGGACTTATCTCTGATTTTCCTGATCTCATTATTTTGTTCAGTGTCTCAAAGTAATCAACCCAGCGGCTCAGGATAATAGCCAAGCAACTGGCATTTTCAGAAAATTGAGCTCAGCACTGGCAGTCTCCATGTTTCTCTCTGGAATGGTATTTGCCATTCTGCTCTGATGATGATTGCTTGATCTTTTCTAAACTTTCCTGCTTCTTCTATTATTTGATGGTGGTGGATATCTGGGTGTCCATTATGTAGGTGGGTCAGAGTTTGCGGAACTCTTTTTTTTATATGGATAATCACATTGCAATTGTGTGGCAAGCCTTCCCTTTCAGGTCGCATATTTCTTGTTTAATTAACCTTGTTGGAGGCTGGACTGCATAAGAGCAGAAACTGAACCAGTTATTCCTGTGGTTCATAGAAAAAGTATAACACAATTATAAGTAGGATAATTGCATTGAAATTGTGTGGCAAGCCTTTCCTTTCATGACACATATTACCTATTTAATGTACCATGTTGTAGGCTGGGCTGTCTAAGAGCAGAAACTGAACCAGTTATTCCGGTATCATAAGTCACAAATAATACATGCAAAGATACTGTTGGTAACAGATACACATAGCCACAAGATTCTAGTTCCCTGGTGTCTCCCACTGCCTTCTGCACTATGGTGTAGAAGACCGTGAGAGACTGGAGACATATTGCAGAAGATGTGGGAGGCTGGGAACATGGTTCAGAAAACAGTGAGAGACTGGAGACATGGGGCAGAAGAACGTGGGAGACTAGGGACATGGTGCAGAAAACAGTAGGAGACTGGTGACATGGGGCAGAAAACAGTGAGAGACTGGAGACATGGGGCAGAAGTTAGTGAAAGAATGGGGACATGGTGCAGAAGACCGTGAGAGACCGGGGTCATGGTGCAGAAGACCGTGAGAGACCGGGGTCATGGTGCAGAAGACCGTGAGAGACTGGGGTCATGGTGTAGATGACAGAAACGCGTCAGTGGTTGTGCTTTGTACACATGCATGTGGAATAATGTTTGGATTTTTTTGGAAGATTATAGTGTGCTGGTTTCACAGTTAAAGTGACCCTGTCAGGCTCAACGATTGCAAATAAAAGTTCCCTGCAGTAGAAGAGCCCGTATACTTTTGAATGGGGCAGATCGCGTGAGCCTCATGAATCCCTCCATCAGACTCATGCGATCTGCTGCGGATAGGAGGCACTGTTCAATACAAAGACTGCTGCCATCACCCGCAGCTGTTCGCAGGCCATTTGTATGTAAACACACATGCTGCGATTACCTGCGGACAGCCTCACCTTAAGGCAGACTATTTGCACCACGGAGCGATTGTCTGCAGGTGACCTCAGCAAGTGCGACTATATGCGAACCACCTGCGAACAGCTGTGGGCAGTAGCAGCTGTCATTGTATTGTACAGCACCTCCCGCCTGCAATAGATCGTATGTGTCTTACAAAGGAATTCATGTAATTGGCCCCATTTGCAACATTCGACACTGGGAGTGTCAGATGCCTGTGTTCCCCACTGTGTGTTGTGGTTCCATCTTCGGACCCCCTACATCACTGCTGTGTTCTTTAATGACGTAGAGAAGTGTCAAATGCCAGAGAGTCTTGTGCAGATAGGTTTAGATACACCTCTTCTGCAGAAAATGTGAAAGCCGCAGAGCCGCGCCAAGGCACCTCTAGATAGTGCGGTCCTAACTCTAAACACATGTGGCAAAAGATCAAATTGGGTGCAGGTTTGTCAGGAGGAAGCCCAACCTCCCTTAAAGGCACAGGGACGCACAAGGGATCCCGCACATCACAAGGCAACTGAGACCCCCCCATGCATCACTGTACCAAATCAGTCAAGCAAAACAAGTGCCTTGGCGTGGCTGTGCGGCTTTCACATTTTCTGCAGAAGATGTGTATTTGTGTTCCCCACTGTGTGTTGTGGTTCCATCTTCGGACCCCCTACATCACTGCTGTGTTCTTTAATGACGTAGAGAAGTGTCAAATGCCAGAGAGTCTTGTGCAGATAGGTTTAGATACACCTCTTCTGCAGAAAATGTGAAAGCCGCAGAGCCGCGCCAAGGCACCTCTAGATAGTGCGGTCCTAACTCTAAACACATGTGGCAAAAGATCAAATTGGGTGCAGGTTTGTCAGGAGGAAGCCCAACCTCCCTTAAAGGCACAGGTACGCACAAGGGATTCCGCACATCACAAGGCAGCTGAGACCCCCCATGCATCACTGCACCGAATCAGTCAAGCAAAACAAATGGCAAACACACTGATCAATTTGTTACCAGCTTTACAGCAAGGTGCACATGGAAGGGCCTAATACAGTACAACAGCAAAAAGTTTTCCCAGCACACTCGCCACCCAGCATGCAAAAAAACTTGTCTCACCGTTAAGGTTAAAAACAGAGGTTTAGATACACGTCTTCTGCAGAAAATGTGAAAGCCACACAGCCGCGCCAAGGCACCTCTAAAGTCTCCATCTTGGAGCACATATGGCAAAAGATCAAATTGGGTGCAGGTTTGTCAGGAGGAAGCCCAACCTCCCTTAAAGGCACAGGGACGCACAAGGGATCCCGCACATCACAAGGCAACTGAGACCCCCCCATGCATCACTGTACCAAATCAGTCAAGCAAAACAAGTGCCTTGGCGTGGCTGTGCGGCTTTCACATTTTCTGCAGAAGATGTGTATCTGTATCTTTTAAGTAAAAGATGTCCAGGAGGAATTTTCTGGAGGATGAGGAGGAGGAAGTGCGGTTACTCAGTAATTATGAAGTGCGGTACAGAGAAAAATCCATGACAAAGCCGTCACCTCACCAGTCCAAAAACAAGGTAAGACCGAGGCTGGCTGACTTACAGAGCAAAGTGGCCTCCAGTCTCTTCACCTAATAGAATTCTCCACCTGTGTGATCTCTTTAATACATACACTGAGCTCCGCAGAGATCCTTAGCGGTGAGACAAGTTTTTTTGCATGCTGGGTGGTGAGTGTGCTGGGAAAACTTTTTGCTGTTTGTACTCCGGTCACCAGAAAGTTATTCTGTTGCTGGGACCATTTTTTTGTTGTTAAATGACAGCATCCCTAAAATAAATCTGTCACCTAATTTCTTTATTGTCTTGACTGAAGTATTAGGATTACCCCCGGTAGCTTTAATTCTTATTTTGGTGGCTTCTCCCCAGAGAACAAAGGGACCTCTTTGATGTTCCATTTTAGAAGTGATCTGCTTGATGTCGTGTCGCTGAATATTAACCAAGCACACGTTTTTCTCAGATCTGTAATACGATTGATGCTCTGATGCTGGCATACAGAATGAAAACATACATTATATATCTTATATGTGGTACGTGCTGCATATATCGGTTCATAGTTGTATACATGAGAGTGCAACTGAAGTCAAAACTTTTGTTTTGGATGGAGTAGAGGGAGATTAGAAGACCTGTCAGTTTTTTTTTTTTGCTGAGATTCACCCTCCTGGTTTGTCCTGGTGGCAGTTAATAGTGAAAGAAAATGCCACATTTTGGATTGTCACCAGAACAGGAATAGACGGGAAATATTCCAGTGGGGACCCTGGTTCTGTTAACCCTGCTGACCATGGGATTCCCACTCACTTCCTGTTGCAGCTTTAAGACAGGAAGTGAAGGAAAATCTCCCCAATGGGACACAGATGGCAAAAAAAAGCTGACAGGGGTTATACCCCTCCCTTACTCTATCCAAAACTTCATATAAGTAGCTTGTTAAATGTTAAGGACTCTAGATGTGGCAGGCAGGGTGCACTTGTTCCCATGAGTGAGAAACCCCCATAGCTCAGATAGACAGCTGGGTATTCTGACATGAGGATGCACACAAACTAGGGCTGGTTTATGGAAAATGCAGCACAAAGAAAATCTAAAAAACCCTCTAAAAGATTCCGTTTTTTTTATGGGCAGTACTCCCATTTTTGCTCCAGTGTTCATAAATCAGTACAAGTATATTGGGGACAATTGACTAAAACTGGAGCAGACAGAATCTGTAGAAGCAGAGCAAAGTAACCAATCAGCTTCTCTCTTCAGTTAAGCTTTGAAAATGAAAGGTAGAAGCTGATTGGTTGCCATGTACAGCTGCTCTAGATTCTGCTGCTCCAGTCTTAGTAAATCCCCCAAATGTGTTTAGAGAAAGTGCAATTATATTTTAGGTTAAAACAATGCTTTGGGGCATTGACATCTTCCAGATCCCTCCATGCATACTAAAAAGCGTGGACGGAGGAATCGCCCACTTTGGCTAATGTATTCTGAGAGTATAACACCACACATATATGGAATTCTATTTTTTGAGGCAACAAAGACTTTAGAGTGAAAATCATCCCATTTTTAAGTAAGGAGAGCATGATTTCTAGATTAAGGTAATTGGTTTTTGTTTTTTGTTTTTCAATAAATACATTATTTTATCATTTCAAGTGCAACATTGTTCATTGTAACGTATGACTGTCCAAACTATTTTTTTTGGGATTGTTTTATCCCACAAAATAACAGCAGGGGGCAATATACCACTAAATTCAGTACCATCAGTACAAGGAGACCTGTCCAAAATCTACATTGTGATTTGCAACCAATGGCAATAGTGTGTACTTTATTGTCATTTCACAGTTCATTGTGTCCTATAACAGGCAGGAACATTAGACATGTATCGTTTGAATTTTCAGGTGGAAACATTTAGGTTGGAAGGGACATTGCTGTTGGGATACAATGTATATATAGGGTAAGTAAACATTGCAGAAATGTGACTTCATGTTCTGAGGTCTGTTGCAGAAAATTGTATAAGAGATTGGGTCACTTGGAACCTAAATAGGAGTGTAAATTGTCCACACAGCTCAGCTCAGTCTTCTGTTACCTGCGTGGTCACCTAAAGTGGAGATACCTCTGCCGAACACCTACAGTTTTAATAATGTACATTTCAACCATTCCATCTACAATATTATGTATCTATTCCGATCCCTATGATGCCACTTGCAGAGCCCACCATAGACTCTCTATGGTGGGCTCTGCAAGGTCTCAGTTGGGCTGCACGCCTCTTACCTGTCAGCGTTGTCCACCTCCGTGGTCGCCGGGCCCCTGCCTCCTCTTCCGTCCCAGGGCTCTGCCTCCTTCTATCGACTGGCCCCGCCTCCTCTTACATCACTGGCCCCACCTGCTCTTAGATCGCTGGCCATTGATGCGAGAGGAGGCGGGGTTGCTGTTAGGCGGGCCCCGCCTCCTTTACTGCAAACGCCGGTGTAACCGGCGTATTCTGCCGCATCTGCTGGCTGTCACTGACACAGCTCCGCAGCGGCTGTGAGGGGGAACGTTCTACTTCACAGCTGCTGCTGAGCTATGTCAGTGACAGCCAGCACCCGAGACGCAATAGCGACCCAGGCGACCCACACGGCATCAGAGGGATGCCAGGCCCCCATGTGCCCGGGCCCCATAGCGGCCGTCTGGGTCGCTATGGCGATTGTTACGCCACTGGATGCACCGATACTTTTCAGATGCCAGTGCCGATACTTGGCATTTTCATGAGAACGACCAGGGTTGCAGCTGGGACCTGGCTCTGGCGCCCCACCTGAAATCATTAGTCTGTATTGTTTTAGAAAAACTGTCACATGGCACTAAACAAGAATGTATCAGTACTTGTACTTGCAAAACTGGTATCGGTGCATCCCTTATATATTTATTAGAGGTGCACCGAAATTGAAATTTTAAAGGGAAACCGAAATTTAAAAAAATGTGAGAACACAAAGTCCTCAATCTCTTTTTCTGTGCCCCCTGTTGAGTGTTCCTCTAGTGTTCCTGTTCATTGATAACATGAGAACATTGTTTGTTTACTATAACTACAATTATGAATGAGTGGGGGTGATGCAGATCACTCCTATTCATAATTGAGGATATAGTTAACATACCATATCCTCAATTATGTACACACACTCAGCAATCACTGATCACTGAGTGTGTGTACATTGCTCTTCTCTCTGACACGCTGTCACAGGAGGCTGAGCGAGCGGAGCAGGGAGGAGAGCTCATCCTCCTGTGACAGGGCTGTCTCCGCCCACACACCGCTCTGCCGGACTGTGATAGGGGGCAGAGCGATGTGGGAGGAGAGAAGCCGGCCGCTCACAGCGCTCTCCACCGCAGCGCTCGGCCGGCTGTCACTTTCTCTTCTCCCCGCTGGGACACAGAGCAGCGCCCACCGGGGAGGAAAGAAAGCAGGGATGCACCGCTGTATCGGCATGAAAATGGCACTTTCGGCATTATGCCAAAAGTGCCATTTTCGGCCGATATGTTTCGGCGGTCGATATATTGGTGCATCCCTAATATTTATTAAAACAAAACCATACATTAAAACAGAGATGTACAAATCCCAGGAGCTCTGTGTGCTCCTTACAAATGACAGCTGCCTCCTAACTTTTGAATTTTTCTCTAGTCTAGTCTTGGAGCTCGAAAAGTATCTGTACATGTACTGAGTACGGTACTTGGTATCGGTGCATACCTAATCCTGACGGTTCCCTTTTTTACAGGTAGCAGCTAACATTGTGTGCGGATGCTAGTTGTCAGACTGCATGGTCACTGCAAGCTCCAGCCACCACTAGCAATCGGCAACCAATCATGTGGTTCCCTTTTCTGTGATCACCATTCTGTTTATGACATGGTGACCACAAGATTTTGTTTGTAAAGGGCTGCCACTCACAGGGACAACTTTTCAGTTGCTGTTCTAATTTTTTTCCCATAGACTAGCTGTACTCTTTTATAGTTGAATCAACACCAAAAACAATTAATCTGGGGTTTTATTTCTTTCACAAAGATTTTATTGAGTTTTTGTTTTTAATCTGGGGTTTTATAAGGCGCACACCATTGCATTTGTTTAAAATCTGTATTAATTTATTGGTTCCAACAGATTTTGTTCCAATAAAAATTCATTTTGACATCCAATAAATATACAAATAAAAACACATACATTTTTGTCCCCTCTTTTGCAATATGCCTCCTGGGGCCCCACTTACGATATGGTAACAATATGAATACCAACTGACCAATATTGCCCAATATTTCCTCTCAGTTAATTCGTGTGTGTCTTCACAATCATATTTCAATTGTGGCATGCGTTTATTCTCCCAATGCGTTTTGCTGGTGTGCTTCCTCAAGGGACCAGAGGCAATTTATCTACCAAAACTGTATAAGCCAAAAGGGCGTCAAAATAGGCACGGATCCCTTCCAGCAGAGGGTGGGGGGGAGGCACTATACTATGCTTCCCCACTCTGCGAGTTTACGGTGGGGCCACAGGGATTCATTTGAGGAGGGTTTCGGTCTATGAAAATTCTTCTTATGGTGTTATTTAAAAATCGCCTCCAGCACATACTGCCATAGGTACGTCCTGTGCAGATAGTCTGGCGCCGTACACCAGATCCAGCAGCAAGAGGAGGTGTTAGTCTATAATAGGGGGTGAGGCTCGTATTGACTGACTTTGGGGATATAGGCGAGTGAAATTTTATAGTTGAATCAAGTTCATTTATAGAGAAAACAACAAGCAGGTAGTAGAAAGAAATGAGCAATACAATCAGCGTACAAGCAAAACGGGATGAGGCCTTACATCCAGGCTCACAGTAGGACAATCAAACAGAAGTAACGTGCAGCAATAACAAAGAGGCAGTCATATGAAAGTACAGATAGAAAACAAGGACTTTGTCAATATATGAAAATCCAAATAAAGTTCAAAACACAGTGGGGGGAATGTATCAAAACTGGAGCAGACAAAATGTGGAGCAGTTGCCCATGGCAACCACTCACCTTCTCTCTTCAGTTTGTTGCTGATTGGTTGCAAAGCTGCTTCAGTTTTTGTCTGCTCCAGCTTTGATACATTCCTCTCAGTATGTGCTCTTAGAGAATACGGTGCCCTAAGCACTGTATTAAGGAATATCACAGCGTATTTCTTGTTGAAAGGTACAAATATATGTTAAAAACACAGGAGACCAATAAGTAGAATGGACAAGAGGAAAGAAGGAAGAGGGACAGGAAGAAGGGAAGGGAGTTGACCCAGGGAGTAAAATCCAAATGAGAGAAGACGCTTGCCTAAGGGGTGTAGACATCATAGTGATCTATGAAGAGCTTTGGAGGCTGAAAAGTGTATCCATAGGGACCCATTGAGCAGGAAAATAAGAGAGGACACATGTCTCGGGGGTGAGGACATTATAGTGATCCATGAAGAGCATTTGAGGCTGAAAGTGTATCCATAGGGACCATTGAGTAGGAAAATAAGAGAGGACACATGTCTCGGGGGTTGAGGCTGTGCGGGAGGAGAGCTCAGCCTCCTATGACAGCTGTCACCGCCGCTCCCCATCCTGATTTGTCACAGAAGGCTGAGCGGTGCAGGAGGAGAGGTGCCGACCGCTTATAGCGCTCTCCTCCTGCTCAGCCTCCTGTGACAGTTTTTTTCCTCCTCGCTGGGACACAAAGCAGCACCCAGCGGAGAGGAGAGAAACCAGCGATACACAGCTATTTCGGCTGAAAGATGGCACTTTGCCAAAAGTGGCATTTTCGGCCGATACGTTTCGGCGGCCGATATTTCCGTGCATCCCTAATAATAATAATATCATATTAATAGTGATGATAGTAATAAGATTCATGATAATAATAGTAATTGTAGTAATAATAATATTAGCAATAACTGTTAGATCTGCTCAGTAGCAGTAACCTGAAATATCTAAGATCTGGGAATCAGGACAAGGCACTGTGTTGACTGATCAGAGCCGTGCTGTGATATGCACAGGAGAACTGTGTGGAATCTAGCCAAGTCATTGCACGCTGTCAGTACAGTTGTTATTTGATATGCATGTGAGACACAGCGGTGTTGCGCTCAGCAGTCTGGCAGTGTGCAGAGCAAGGCATGGGAACTCACAGGAAGAGATTTAAATATTATGAAATGTGTGAAGAGCTGAGTGCAGAGCCTTCCATCCTATAAAGGCTGGAGATAGAGATCATTTAAGGGACTTTCTTCTACAGTTTAGACATCGCATTACCATTATTTATATTTTGTCATTTCATTGCAATACCAGAAGTTTCCTCATTGCTGTGTATTTAAATAATTTCTAAAATGATATCGGCTAAAGACGGTGCGGACAGTAAGGTAAAGGCGGAGGGTGAGCCGACGCATGCAAAAAAACAGCTAGCATTGATATCATACCGGAAATCACATCATGGGCCACCAAGCTTGGAATATGAGGCTCCCAGTTCAGAGGATTCCCAGAAGGATAGGGGGGATACCAGTATGGCAGCAATTGCCAAAGAGCCTGAAGTCTTCAAAAAGCAGGTGAGTCAATATAGATTTTATTTTGTTGCAGCATATACATAGTATTGTACAGGAAAATCACAAGCACTCAGATTTCTGGAGCTTGGACCTCCAGCGTTATCTTGCTTTGATCCAGTTTCGCCATTGTTCTAGTTGCTATAAAGCACAGCCGCTAATAATATTTGGTTTACTGTAGTCGGATGATTTAAGAAGTCATTTCCAATTGGTTGCAATGCGTTTTATAGCCCTTCGTTCATTGATCTTTGGTGGATTGGCAGGGTTTGGTGTATGATTACAGATACTCAGTTCCTAGCCTGCAGTTTGCCTAAATAAACTGTTTCTAAACCCAAAAGCAAAAATGTAATATATTGCAGCTTAGCAGTTCATAGATGCGGTGGCTGCATTCCTTTTTTTTTTCCCCTGCTTTTTTTTCACCTGGTCATTCAGCCAGTAAAGCTAAAATATTTTTCAACTTCCTTTAACAGACCAAGCTGTCCAGAAAAACTGGCAGATAGAGGTTTGAAACAAACCATTTAACACTGATGGGTTCTTACAATGGTCAGCTTTTTATTTATTTATGTAAAACGTTTATCCTAAAGTTAGAAAAAATTAAACAGTTTGTGTACGTGCTTAAAAGTGTTACCTAGAATTCAGATTTAATTAGTCAAGTCCATCTAAACTTTCTAGTGCATCTATAACATTACCCTCCCCACAGGGTGACAATGCTGCTGGCCAAGGGTGGCTCCATTGCACCTATATAGAGTGGAGCCACCCTAAGACAGGAAATGTGTTACCAGAAAAGAAAACGGATGCAGCCACCAAAGTGATCTAAGAATTGGTAAGCTGCAATATATGACATTTTTGTTTTTGGGTTCAGATACACCTTAAACCTTTTTTCTTTGGAGAAAGTTCAAATAAGACACAAGGGCTCTGTTCACACCACAAACCGTGCATTCCAGAGCAGCCAGCCTCTGGAACACACTGTATTGCAAACCGGGGGCTCCCTGCGTTCAGGGGCAGGAGGAGGCATGGTGGTGCATCAAAGTCAGTGGCAGCACAGCCATGCCCCCCACCGCAGTGCAATTTCCCGAATGCGTGGCACATTAGTGCCTATGTTCCAGTCTAGTGCAATCTGCAAAAATAGTGCAGCTCGGAAGAACTGATGAGGTTAGGAGAGCCGTAAGCCACCAGTGCAAGTGCAGGACAACGCTTTCAAGAGGACGAGTGGGTCAGCAGTGGTAATGTGGGCGCCCAGCGGGGAGGAAAGAAAGCACGGATGCACTGCTATTTTGGCAAAAAAAAGACACTTTCGGTATTCAGCCAAAAGTGCCATTTTCAGCCGATATGTTTCGGTGGCCGATTTATCGGTGAATATACAAAGGAAATCCAAACATAACAATTAATAACACTTTTCACATACAGTAAATAGCTAAATATATTTGTATGTGTTATTATTTGCTAGTGCAGACTCCAGAGATTCATGTATTTATTTTGCTTGCTCTAAATATTTGTTTTTTAGGAAATTGTTTGTCTGATGTCTTCTCTTGCATAATAATAAAATAATTAAAGTTATACCACATACTGTACTGCACTGACCTCCACTCTTTAAAAACTCACTTACCCATTTGTCCTAATTCTCATACAGAGATATACAATTTCATTATTTGATAACCAGCACTGTTCCTGTTGCACATACATATACTGTATAACTTCTATGCAAATCATTGTGCTTACAATGAAAATTTATTTTTAATGACTAGACAAATGTCAATGCAAACAGAAAGTTTCTAAGTATCGTAGTCTCTCTCTCTCTCACGATAGGGAGGGATAAACCCTTTGTGAGAAACAGAAAAAGGAGGGGAGGGGAAGATACTAAAGATTCTTAATCATTTCCTCTTCCATCATGCACTATGGACCAATTAGTAATCATATTCTCTATGGAACTAATTATTAGATCTCTAAAATTAATTGAACAGTGTCACTTCCGGAGCCCTAAGTCCTTGCTCATGACTCCTTTTTTTCCCTTGATACCTTCTGTAGTTGTACCTGTTTGTTATGTCTCCTGATGTCAACCAGACAAAGAGTACATATGACCATTAATATGCTAGTAGGCCAGGAAATTAGAGAAAATATCCCTGTGGGTGCACATGTCCTGGTTACTCCTGTCAAAGGTAATGTGTCTCCTTACTTTTGAAAGACTTCCTCACACTTTCTGTCCTGCCACTGCGACAGTGATGGAAAATTTCCCAGTGTGTTCGCAACACTACATTTCCCTTTCCTCCATATAACTATATCTAGACTAGTCAACTAACTTTTAGAGGGAACCCTCAACTTTTAAACAATGGAGTCACATCGCTACTTGAGGGCTTATCCTAAAAAGTTGAATGGTCACTACTGTTTTTAATGGATATATTCTGCCAAGAGATGGGAAAATACCCATTACATCCAGGTATAGAGGAGCATGTAACTCACTACCAAGGCCAAGCCCCTGTGCTGTCACATGGGGAGAGTCTAAAGCCCTGTGTATGCTACCACTTGACCTACTCATAGCTTCTCTGGATCTTAGCAGTAGAACACTGCGGTTTGGAAGAAAGGTGAGTTGATGGAGAGGGGGGAATAAAGTGTCGCTTTGTCCTACATAGCCAAATAACAGTTTCACTTGAAATAGCCAGACCTCACACATTAAACCATTGGGCATTTATATAACAGGTTGATTTCAGTCATCTGTTATTACATAGCTATTATTCACCATAGAATTATTAGATTTTCTTTAACAATGCAACAGCACAGATGCCAAAATCTAGTTAAGTATACTATTTCATGACATTCCTGTTAAGTGCTGACTTAAAATGTGTAAATAGATTGAATGAATGTGGCTTGAAGGTATTTAAGATCTTGGCATCTTTTCATGTGCTTCAGGATACATTTTTAATTGGCCTATGAATAGTGATGCCCATTAAAGCCAGACTCCAGCCAAGCCATAGCATGGGTACAATAAGGAAGGTTTATAGCCTCTGTCCATCCACTGCTTTCCAAGTTACCGTTTAGCAGATTTCTTACTTCTTGAGCTTCTATTCAATTGATGGGTGTCAGAAAGAACGCAATAAGGGAAACTTTTCCCAGTGGAAACACAAACAACAGTTAAAATATTTGAGGCTCAGTTTGTCTAAAAATTCATGACTAAGCTGTCTGATGAGGGATGGTTCACTGCCATGGTGATTATTTGGGGTTGATTCAGTGAAGAAATTCAGTTTAGGCACTTAGCAAGGGAATTTATACTCTGCAAAGTACATGTTAGTAAATGTGATGAACCTTTTTTGACATTAACAGCTGCAAGAAAAAGTATGTGAACCTCTTGGAATTAAATGTTTTTCTGCAGTAATTTGCCATAAAATGAGATGTGATCCTCATGTAAGATACAACAATGGGGGGAATTTATCAAAATTGGAGCAGATAGAATCTGAAGCAGTTGCCCATGGCAACCAATCCGTTTCTCTCTTCCGTTTGTTCAGTTAAGATTTGAAAATTAGAGAGGCTGATTAGTTGCCATGAGCAGCTAATGCAGATTGTCTGTTCCAGTTTTGATAACTTCCCCTCAATGTGCTTAAGCTGATAACACACATACAATTTAAATTTCTCGTGTCTTGATTGAACACACCCATTAAACATTCACAGTGCTGGAGGAAAAAGTAAGTAAACCCTTGGAGCTAATAGCTGGTCAAACCTTCTCAATTACTTTAAGCAAGCGCTTTTGGTAGCTCTGGATCAGACCTGCACAACATTCAGGAGCGATTTTTGGCCAGTCCTTTGTGCAAAACTGCTTCGGCTCAGACACATTTGTAGGATGTCTGGTGTGAATGGCTTCACAGTATCTCTATTGGGTTAAGTCTGGGCTCTGACTGACTTCAGAAAAAGAAAATGCGCCTTTTGGATTGGCCCAGTTTGTGGTGGATTTACTTTGATGCTTAGGGTCATTGTCCTGCTGTGTCACCCAACCTCTACTAAGCTTCAGCTGGGGACAGCCACCTTGACATTATCCTGTTGGATATTTTGGTAAACTTGGGAATTGATTTTCCCCGCAATGATGGCAAGTGGTCCAGGCCTTGAGTCAGTGAAGCAAGCCCAAAACCTGATGTTCCCTCCGCCATACCTAACCGTTGGGATGATGTTTTGATGTTGATAAGTTGCGCTATTTTTATATCATACATAGGGCTGAGTAATCTTCCCGAACAATTAAAATTTTGGTTTATTAGTCCACAAAACATTTTCCCAGTAGCTCCGGACTTTGCCAAGGTGCTCTTTGGAAAACTTCAGTTACGCAGCAAAGTTTTTTTCAGAAAGCAGCGGCTTCCTCCACTCAATGTACGAGTTTACGAGTATGGGACTTTCCTATACTCATCTGCGCCTTTTAGGGGAGCTAGTGCCATGCGAACTGCATCCACCTGGCATAGCTTTTACATATGAAGCCTAAAATGTATTTCCACTTTTGCAGTTAAATTTGAGAAAACCCACTATGTGTTTATGTGTTCCTATTCACACAGCATACCTAAAATATTGTGTTAAAAACTATTTTCAACTTTTGAGATGTGTCGGTATAGCAAGTTTCTCTCTGTTTCCAAGTGACAGTCCCATAGAAAGACTCTCCATCCATACACACCTATTTATACATCCAAATCTAATTACAACCCAAATTGACCCTTGCAGTGGGGCGTTTCACCCACCCATCCTTTGATAAAAACAAAATATATTGTTGTACAGTTTTTTGTTGAAATATTTCTTGAATTAATAAATAAATTGCATTCTTTTAGTGCTGACCAAGTGTTAAGGACTAAACAAACTTAAAAAAACAGCCAGTTGGCAATAAAATATTGTTTATTGTAACACACCTTTTTACATATGTATGCTAAAAAAGGGGGGTTATAAAGGGTGATACATAATGAAAGAGTACTTTATGAGCTAAACAACATGACTGCTGCTTTGTGAAAATTATATGGACTCCCCAAATTAATTACATAATAAGTAAAATACTATGCAATCATGACAAATAATCCTCATCATTCAGCTTCATTTAACAAATAAACACAACACATTTCACAGTGTTGTATTCTTCCAGCATTGACTTACTTTGTAGTTCCTTGCATTTGTTTGCATTATATCTCTGAGCTGCAAAGGAAGCTATATAATGCCCAGCAGTTGTTGCTGACTTAGGGTCCTGCTCTGATTGAGGTTTGCATGGGGAGGATCTCCACACAGGGCCACCAGCCCAACATACTGTATATTATAGGTACTGGTCTGAGAGACAAATCCTCCCAGTCCAGCCCTCCTCTGATGGTCATTGGATATTATTTTCTTGCACAAAACAGCTTGTGACCGTTCTCTCAGCAATGCATATGTTTTTGTTTGTTTTTGTTTATAGCAATTTTTTACTTTCTTTTCAGGATGTTTCAAGACATGACATTCACAAGACTAGCCATACTCTACCAGCAGAAAGAAATAATTCTGCTTTCGACAATCAGGGTTATGAAGGCAGCCAAGATGACCTGGCCTTCTCATCCTCCGTGGTGCTAGCAATTGTAGGCATGACGTGCCAGTCATGTGTTCAGTCCATCGAGGGAAAGATCTCCAAGCTGCCGAGCATAATTAGAATTAAGGTTTGCTTGGATCAAAACAATGCCACTGTACACTATATCCGCTCAGAAATAACCGCTCAGAAGATCTGTGAAGAGATAGAAGACATGGGCTTTGAAGCTAGCATACAAGAGTGCAAGGAGATGACAGCACCACAGAAAGGCATGAGTTACAAAGAAGAGGTGATCAAGATCAGGATAGAGGGCATGACCTGTCAGTCTTGTGTCAACACAATTGAAGGCAAAATTGGGAAACTTCAAGGTGTCCAAAAAATAAAGGTGTCCCTTACAGGCCAAGAAGCAGTCATTGTGTATGATCCACTGTACATTCAGCCGGAAGACCTTAAGAAACATATAGATGACATGGGATTTGTGGCTTCTCTTAAGAGTAAACCTGACCCTTTAAAGCTTGGAACAATTGACATAGAACGTTTGCAGACTGTTCCTATACATCGTAACATTTCAGACTCTGATGGCGCTGTCATTGATGGTCAAAAAGAGATAGCGACTATTGGTATAGAAGGGATGCACTGCAAATCTTGCGTCTACAATATAGAAGGGTCCATATCAGACCTCCCTGGTGTTCAGAGTATCAAAGTCTCACTTGAAAACAAAAATGCTATTTTATGTTTCTTTAAAAGTGTTACTGACTTGGTTACTGTAAAAGAGGAAATTGAAGCGCTTCCTCCCGGCAATTTCAAGGTTATACTTTCATTGGCAGAACATTCAAGGCCCTCAACAAAGTTGAAATCCAAGTATCATTCTTCCTATAAACAAAGTCATCTGCCAGCTACCAAAATGGCCTTAATCCGCATTGTAGGAATGACCTGTGGATCCTGTGTGTCCTCTATTGAAAACATGATCTCTCAGAGAAAAGGAGTACAGTCCATATCGGTTTTATTAGATGAAGCACTCGGAACAATTTACTATATCCCAAGTGAAACAAATGCAGAGGAGCTTAGGGCAGCCATAGAAGACATGGGGTTTGATGCTACACTTGTATCTGGTAAGTTTACACTTAACATTTTGCATCATGGTGAAAACATATTCATGTCTTCATCCACTCTAGGCATTTGGTCAATGGATCTCTGCTGAAGAGGTGAATCAGCCAAGCTGAACTTGCATGCTCCCCTTCAACAGAGAAATGACCAAATGCCTAGGCTGTGGGTTATGTGAGCATCAATGGAGAGAACTTGGATCATCTCTGTAAAAAATAAATCAAGGCAACTGGACTTGCTGTATTTTTCTTAAAGACGCTTTGCTGGTCATCCGACTAGCTTTCTCAATCCAGAAAGCTGACTTAAGAAAGCTTGTTGGATGACAGGTGAAATATCTTCAAGAAAAATACAGAAAGTCCAGTTACCTTGATTTATTTTTTACAGATATACCATGACCTAGATGAACGAGAACCTTCACAGACAACTTGGATCATCACTTTCTCTAGTAAAGGTAAGAATTTTAGTATTTCTTACTGTTATTCATGTGAGCACAATGTTTGTAACTCTGTCCTCCCCCAAAAAATAATTAAAGCCACCCTGCAAATAAGGAGTTATAATGCTTCGCAATCTGGCAGGTGGTGACTGTGATCTTTGCATTCTTGAGTGGCTTCACCAGCAGAAAGACCTTCAGCATCTGACATGCATATGGGTGTGTGTCCCTGCAGTTGTAGTGATGTGGTACAACAACATGCATTGTATAAACTTTGCAATGCATTACCTTGCATTTTCAATGGCACCCCAGTGTATACATAAAAAAAGTCACAAAAGAAATGCATCAGGCCCCTAGAGCACCTCATGCAATAAGAAACGCATGTAATGCCTTGCGGTGTTATAAAAAAACAAAACACAATACAGGCCCATGGACATGCATTGAGGGCTCATTGAAAATAAACAAATATGCTCAATTTAACAAATGGGCTCTATGAATGTTTCCTAAAAAATATTTAAGTAGGATGGATCATATTTACATATTGAACAAAAAATAAAGAAAATAAGTAGTTTCTCTTCAAGAAATTATGGGACTTTAATGGGCTTTTTAGCCCCTACTCCTATACTTTCTGGGTTTTTTGACACATCACTGAAAACAGTATTGCAAGCCCTAATACTGAACCACAAGCCCCAGCAGATAAGTCTTAGCCAGTCAACAAACATTTGATACAAATGACTGTAAACTATTCCGATATAAAATTAGAATGTCAATTTAATGAACCACAATCAGAAACAATGAATGTCCTATGTGACAGTGCCTAATCTACATCCCACAAATCGTGTACGTTCTTCTGCTTTGTACTTTATGAACAAATGATCTATTAGCTTTAACTAACACTATATTTTATACCAACAGCAGGCAACAGAGGGTGAAACATAGTACCAAAGCTTCCAATGACCTGTATATTTGAAATGGGGAGGGAGTGGGAATACAGAAACATTTGGGGAATGAGTTTCAGATACCACCACGGAAAGAAATGGCACAGATGGTCGCATATACAATATTTAGGGCTTAATGTTTATTTCCATTCAATAGAAAATATTTTAGCAGACAAAAAATTTGGAAGCATGTAAGCATTTTCTATCACCCCTAAAATATATGAATGTTTCTGTGTGTTTTTAGATTCTGCAGTGCCTATAACCAGCAACCAGACAGAACCTGACACAAGGCAAAATTCCTTAGCAATGTTGAAGGAACTGACTACCCATAAAGATTATATTGTGGATGTTATGCCTAAGAAGCTGCACCTGGATATTGATATTCCTTTGAGCGATAACAGAGCGCCGCAGAAATGTGTTTTACAGGTCACCGGGATGACATGTGCTTCCTGTGTGTCTAACATTGAGAGGAATCTGAAGAAGAAAGATGGTATCTATTTTGTAATGTCTTTCATAGTATAGACAGAGATCTATCTCTATGGCTACTCAAAAATGCATAATTCCTGGAATCTCTTTGTGGTACTATGGTCTTTGGGAATGACCCTGACTTCCTGCAGAGTTTTAGCCCAATACACTTTGTCCCTTTGTTTTTACCTTCATCTCATTTATCTCCATAGAATGTATTCTAAACACATACTTTCAATGCCAGTAAGCCATTTGTAGAAGCCATCAGCTTTTAACTTGCCTTCTTTCCCCATAGTTAGTTACCAATAGAACCAATAAAAAATGAATGCAATGAGTCTGAAACTTATTCTGTGGTTCCATTTGGTGATTGACATACATACTGTACACCTTTAGCCTAAAAACATGGTGAAAAAAACATGTGCTTAATGTTAAAGTGAGTTATCTCCGTTTCTGAACACTCTTCTATAATGATGGTGATCATATAGTAGTAACCTGTGAACTCATACTTACTAGGTATTGTTTCTGTGCTGGTGGCACTGATGGCTGGTAAAGCAGAAGTCAGATACATAGGAGACCGGATTGAACCAACAGAGATTGCCCAACTTATTGAAAACCTGGGGTTTGGAGCAGTAGTATTGGAGGACTGCACTGCTGCAGATGGCTGTATTGAGCTAGTGGTAAGTAAAAAAAAAACTAAAATACCGTTGCTGTGAGCATGATGTTTCAAGGTATCGCTACTAAGAGTTGTTTTCTGATCCACACAGCCATCAATAAGATTCAGATATTCAGGGAAGGGCTGCAGTAAGATATAAATTATACTAACAACCTCCACTTTCCTGTTACAGAAGTTGTACTGGGTTTCTAAATATAACTATGCAGTCCAATATACACCATAAGGTAGTAGACTAACATCACAGCTAGACAATAAAATCTCTAAAAGAGAGAGTGATTATGGCCTTGTTCACACCGAAAGCATGTGCGTTCCAGAGCGGTAGCTGCTGGAACGCACCGCGATCGCTGAGAAACTTCTCCCCGTGTTTTGGAGCAAGAGGGGGCGTCGGCGGTGCATTGTATTCAATGGCATCGCTTACACACACACACACACACACACCCCCCCC